AATCATCCAATGCAACCGCAATAACTGGAGCGTCTGTAAATAAAAGCAACAAAACCCTTTCTCTGTTCATAAAAAATCTCTCAAAATCTGAGTCAGTTGTACAATTCTGACTATATCATGAGCATGTGTTTATGAATCACTGTCACATAGTGATGATACCATGTGGCACCCTTCACAAACACATGCAAAGGCAAGTCAATTGTTTAACTGAATGGCTTTATGTAATATTCCCTGGAGAAATGATCATTTGGATATTATTTTACTCCACTAAACATAAAGTCAGATAATTGGCTTAGTGGAATAGTACAATCTGTGTTTCTGGTTCCAAAACATGAAAAGTATTGTTACATCTGCAAGGGTCTTTTAAACAATTTATTTGTTCAAATGATATAGTTATAGAAATGGTTATTTAACTTTTTAGTCACATAAGCATTGTCTCAGTATTAATATGTTACTGGTCTCAGTTTATTACTTATGGTGTTTGTGTTACATTTAACGTGAATGTCTGTGGGTGACACAATCTGTGTACATGTGGTTGAACTAGGGGTTGTTAAACGGAAAAACAGAACAACAGCTAACATCTATTGTATCATGACGTCAGGGTAGGGTTTGTTTGTTTGTAGTTTAATGGCTCACTCAGCAATATTCAACTGTATGACGGCGGTCTGTAAATAATGGAGCCTATATCAGTCAATCTAGTGATTGAGATCATGAGCATCGATCTACGCAATTGGGATATGATGACATGCATTAACCAATTTAGCGAGCCTGACCACCCGATCCTGTTCGTCGCCTCCTACGACAAACATGGGTTGCTGAAGACCAATTCTAACCCAGAATCTTCACGGGATGAGTCAGTAGGGGAATATATAAACTGAGTAGTTGGAAAAAACCATCTTAGTTTCTCATAGATTCTGTGTTTTGTTTTAGAATAAGTTCCTATAAAACATCAACCCCAGGTAATAACCAGATTATCTGACAAATCAAATTCCATTTTGCAAAAAGGGCACAAATGCCACAGATCTGAAAATGAGCCACAAATTTTGAGTGAATCTGAGTAATACATATATGTTCAATAGAGATGGTCTGTGTACAGTCTATTCAAGAAACTCTTTGTACTTAAAGGAACGTCACCCATATATGACTTTAAGAGGAATATTCACCCAAATGTAAAAAATAAACAAAAACAATCCATACTTTTGTTAAGTGGTGTATTGTTTATGTTAAGTCTCATCTGACTGACACCTGATGATAGTCTCTTAATGTGACTAATGGTTTAAAGCAATGGTGTGAGAAAGGTTCATAAATGGATTTATGAAGTTTTCAGACTTTTTGAAGGATACCGCAATTACTTTGAGGTAGATTTTTAATCTTTTATATTCCAAAACAACAAGATCGTTACATGTCATTAAAGATTTGGCACAAGTCAGCTGCGGACCTACAATGATAAAAGCATGACATAAACTCGATAATGACTAACCACACAACTGTCCAAAATTGAACCTACAGTGAACCTGAGAAAGTTAATCTTAAATAGCTGTTTTATATTTTTATAAAATAACCATCATCTTTTTGGATCATAATTAGAATTCAATAAAATTCAAATTATACATTTAATATCAAGTAAATAAAACCATTTCCTTTTTTCATCAGAAACTTTTGCCAAAAGCAGAGTCGATTGTACAATTCCGACTTTATCATGAGCATGTGTTTATGAATTTCTATCAAATAGTAATGATACCAGGTGTTTGTGAAATGGTTAGCGTATCCTGCCCTACCAGTGGCTCCTATCTTAAACACATGCAAAGGCATGTCAATTGTTCACCTGAAAAAAACCATATGGTACAAATCAAAAAAGGGAATTGCATCAGACATCATTTTTGTCACTGATGTGTCACATTTGGAAATGTCCCCTATATGGTTCATTAATTCAATCTGACATGTAGATTCTGTCTGAGAAAGTGCAACTCTAACTTTCAATCTTATTTTATTCCATGTTATTAAGTTTATTTTAAAAGAAATTATTCAAAAATATCACAAGTATGTATTCATAAGCTTTGCAGAAATTCTCTACATTGCAATATTGCCAATGCTGAGCAAAAGTTTAACTCACTTTGCAAAGAATTCTGTTTAACAGTTGACAAGTTCATTGAAAAAGCTGAGTTAGGATCAACCAATGTTGTGTTAAAAAGGAAGGACTGCTAGATTTGTTCAATATGTACTGCTTTATGAGTGTATTGTCTCTTAAAATATATATGTACATATAAACACCTATCAAACCATCAACTCAAGTTGCAGTGGATTGAAATCACTTAAAAACTCAGATGAGGGAAATATTTTGTATGTTTGAGGCATAACCATAGCATTTGAGAGAACTCAAGAATTAAAAAAACACACCTCTACATCTTGGCAGAACACTCCTGGTTCCAGGGCTCTGAGAAAAGAACAGGTCAATTTGACAATGTGATTTCTTTTGTACAAGATTATTATCAATTATTCACAAAGCTTTTTGTTCTCTCCCTAATCACCCCGGTGCACTTTCAATGTCGTAATGCTGGCATTTTCTGGCCACAAGGGTGTTCTCACCGTAAACAATCTATCATTTCAACACCTCACTCCATCCCACCAGGGTAGTGAAATTCCTCCGGCCATGATACACATGCTGCTGGTATTGCCTTAATACAATGGTTCTAACACTGTTGTGCTGAGTCTCTTACTCCCTGAATCTGGAAAACACTCATCTTTAGAATGAAATGTATAAGCTTATCTTGAGTTAATTTCCTTACCATAATTAAAAACATGTTTTGAAAGACGATCTAGAATTAGTTTTCATATATTTTCATAGATTGTTTATTGATACAATGGTTTTTTTCATAATGTTGTAGCATGTTGAGATGTTCCTTAATGAATCTGTCCTGCATGTAATATATAAGATACCCATATATTAGGATTAAAATGTATAAGCTTATATAGTTGGTGTATAGTGATAGTGAATATAACACATATCATAATATAGTCGGAATAATGATTTGGAAATAGTGTTCATATATTTTCAAAGGTCGTTTATAGTGATGGTTATATATAAATATAAATTGTCAATGCAAGAGACTAAATAACCAGTCTAGATTATCCACTGAAACAGATTCCATTTGGCGTAAAGGGTGCATTTATATGAATGGACCACTGAAAATTTGTGATGACACCAGGTGTTCGTGAAAGGGTACAGCACATGCTCATGATATTGTCAGAATCATACATTCGACTCTGCTTTTGGCAGAGATTTCTTATAAATATGGAAAGGATTTTGTCACTAATATATATTGCAATGTTTTTTATACTGTACTAGCATGTTGATACACAAGGTTGAATCATTTCAACAATTATTGTTTACATTTTCATGCTCATATTACTGAAAGCAGATGATGAAGATGCTTGTAATATTGGAGTTGGTCATGAATGTATCATAACAGTATGTTTAACAAGACGATTTATTGGCATGATCTTCTTAAGAAGCAGCAGATTTGTAACATCATTCTTCTTCTCACAACATTTTGATGTCCTACTTTATAAACATGTTTATTCAGCTCATTTGAAACATAATATTTTTGTGTACATATTTATAGCGATAAAAAACTGCCAAAGTATATATATAACACCTGTCAGTGCATGATGCAAAGTCATTGTAATTTTGACTGAAGAAAACTTACTGACATATATGCTTTGTTTAGTTAGATGTATGGTTATAACAATCATTTGAATCAATATGTTCCTCACGATAAACAGTAGGTGTCACTGTGGTAGAGATGCTATAAGACAAGTTCTTGCTCTCACACATTCATTGTGATTTTAGTAACTAATATCAAAATATGTATTCAAGGCACATGGAAAAGACCATATTTTGGTCAAATATTATAAAGAAACATAAAGGCTCCTTCATTTTGTCAACAATAATATCTTCATCACAACAAGATTATGGTATCTGGAGCTCATCCATTCCGATCCAGAGCCTTCAAAATTAGTGTTCAGATCGCTCTATAAGAATTTGGAGAGGCTGATTATGTGAGAAATACCACAGCAGCCTGTAGTGCCATGTTCAAATTTGAAAGGAGCTACAGGCATACATACTTTTGGCATTCACAGTTGCGTTTCAAATTAAAAGGTAAAGTCTAAAAATGTCCAATTGTTTCATGTGATTTTTCGTAGTTGTTTGAACTAAATATAAAACTGAAGTAACACCTCTGATGTAACTTTGATGCAGCAATGTCTTTATTTTTTTACACAAAAAATGAATTAAATTTTGATCGATGTATGCATTTGTCCATAACACCTGACATGGGTATGTCCATAACACATGGCATGGACAAGTTGATGACATAACATACTGACATCACAAGAGCCTTTTACAGTGAATATTTGCCTGTTCATCAATCACCTTTTCCCTTTTTCCTTTTATATAGATATGAAGCACATAACACAAAGTAGATAACATGAAGTGGGATATTTGAAGGTGCATTATACAGGGTGGTCATGACAGGGATGCTTTCATATGCTGCTTTGATATCAGATTGGGAAACATTTTCCAAAAGCTATTAAAATGTTCCAACTTAGAATTATTTCAGCACTATTTTTATTGTTGTGAAGAAGACAATTTTATGTATAAACATAGCTTCTTCTTCTTCTTCTTCTTCTTAACTGACTGCATCAAATAAACAGCACACTCTCAATGGTAAATAATAGTAAGTTGTGTCATTGTCTGTCCAAAGTGCACATCGATACATCATTGTTGGCAGACAGTTCTTCCTCCAATATAACAGCAGATTATGAAGTTTATAATGACTGAATTATTTAAGAACAGTGATATTTCTGCGCATAAGTATTATGATAAGTCACTAGATTCATAGAAGTATTCTGTCTAGAGTGCATTTATCCAATGATGTTTACCCTGCCAATGCACTTATGATAAATCAGATTTTTTTTCAATATTTCTTTTTCAATTTCAGATCTGAGTGCTATTCCATGGCCAAGGAAAGGTAGATATCCTTTTAGATGAATATACTTCATTTTAAGCCCTATGCAGTCTCACAAATCATAATTTCAATGTATGATACATGCCAAAGTCTGTTCATCTTATATAAGAAGAATTTTGTGGAACTTTGAAATATGAAGTTGGTTGCCAAACTATTTTCAAACAAACCATAAATCACTGTACCCCTGTACATATTTTCCTTCGCATTCAGTCCATCTTTTCCTAAGGTTTAATAAAAAATATTTCAGGAAACAATGTTCCCAGTGAAGTTATTACATCACTGGGGTTTAAAGCAACACTGGTATAGCATTGACACACATATATGAGTACATTGGAGGAGACTAAAACAAACTTTGTGACAGTATGTTACTGGTAATGACTTTGTGGTCAAAGGCTCTAGGATTTGCTGTACAGAGTTGTCTCCATTAGATGTGCCAGGAGCCACTGATCATGGGTTCGAATCCCACATTACCTGATCATGATCCTTGATTTGTCAGCACCTTACCTGTGATTGAAGATCCAGGAGACTCTCGTCCACAACCTGCTTCACTTGGACATTCCTACCCAAACAAGCTGACAAGCCAGGCTATAACTGAAATACTGTTCAAAGCTGCATTAAACCCAACTCACTCACTTAAAATATTCAATAGTATGTATATACTCTTCAACTGTTTATATAATGTTACAGATATAATACGAGATGGCAGACCTATTTCAAACAGTCAAGGTAAGACTTCAAACTTGAAATTTCAACTTTAAAACAGAAATCCTTTGATCAGAATAAACTAATTATTAGATTTCATCCTCTTCACTTCTAAACATAGCACATCAATTTACTGTCCTTAAGAATTTAGAATTGAAGAAAATGGCTTTTTCCTCTTTTCAGTACTTGATGAAGAGCACAATATACATAGTCCAACCTACCATTGATTAAGGTGAATCACTTCTTTCAACTGTTAATGAATGCAGATACATTGAACAGTTTGTTTAAAGATATAATTATGTATTTAAAAAATATATATGGCAAAACCAATTATGAAATGACCCTATTCACATTTTTGAAAAACTTGGATGAAATCTAATAATTGAATTATGATGACCTTATTCAAGAAAAGTTATTGTGTTTGTTTGTTGTTTCACACCACACTCAGCAATATTCCAGGTGTATGACATCAGTCTGTAAATAATCGAAACTTGTCAAGACAATCCAGTGATTGACAAGAGCACTGATTCACACAGTTGGGATACGATAACATGCAAGTCACCGAACCTGACCATCTGATCGGTTTGGTTGCCTCTTATGGCAACCATAACTCTTACCCACAATTGTATAGTTAAATGTTTTGGTTTGCTGTAGTTATGATTGTTATGTCACAATAATTGATAAACCATGAGCAGAATACTTGTAAATATTGCATCATTATGATATTTTACAAATACTTACTGCAACAACACATTTCAGATATTGTGCATGTTTGTAGTCAGGACAGAATATCATGCATTTGTATTAAAAGCTGCCTTTGTCTTTATACATATACAATCAATGTTATTTAGATAGGGTTCATATACAAAGATCAATAGTTTCATATGATAGAGAACAGGACCACCAGATCATGAAACACATGTCATGGAAAGTTGTTTACATTGATGAATTGCTGCATTTCTTAAACAATATAACTTCCCATTGAACAGGATTTCAACTTTTGGATTCTTCTCTGCGACAAATGTTTCTAAGTCTTCTTTTGAAGAGAGCTAAAAAACATCTACTGGATTAGTGGCACCAGAAAGATTATCAAAAAAATGAACTGAGCAAACAGGCTTTCGAGATTAAACAAGGTTTTGGTGTTTAGCTACAAATGATAATTAGTTAAACCTGAATATTTAATCATCAAAGAGGTATTGTGAAATAGTACAATTCTTTGAAGCTTTGGTACAGATGTCAATTCCATAAAATTATAAATATTTGTGGAACAATTTGAGATCTATACGACAATTTTCAAGCATAGCTTATCCTTAGAAAAAGTTATAATCATTGTTCATTCTGAACATAAAATACATGTTTATGATACACACTATCAAAATAGGTCCATATTTCAAGATATTATTCAAGATTCAAGTTTCAATGCTGGCATCGTACCATCGAGGGTTAATATGTTCTGTGAGCAACCAGTGTGATATGTTTAGGACACTGATCGTGTGACAGCAAACATTAAATTCAATCTATGAAAATACTTTGACAGGTAAGAAATAATACTGGGAAGTAGAATTAGACAGCATAAAGAAGTACATTCTTCTGTAAAAAAAATTAAAAAAATGTCAATAACATTCCATTTTACTTCAAGGCCCCTCAAAAAGAATTGATGGCATCCAAATGAAAGGTGTAATTTCAGTCAAGATTTTAGCATGAAAATCAAGGTTATATATGATTTTGATATGTATCATAGAAGAAAAATGTTTACAATGTGGAATGCCCACTTTAATGTCTTGCTCTAATAAGTATTATGAATTTACAAAAAAAGACAAGAGTCATTTTGGTCAAGAAACCTTAAAGAGTTTAATCCAGAGGGTTTAGGCATTGAGTTACTTGACTAGCTGTATAAGAGATGAGTTTCAAGATCGTAATTCTAGTAGTTGAAGAGATGATCAAATTTTACAATGACATCGACTTGAAATATGCATTGTACAGGTCACTATGACATGTCAACGTAAACTCTAACATAGTGTTCAAAGTGAAAGTGAAATGTCTGAACTTTATCGCCTCAAATCAGATCTTTGACATTTAACACGAGCTGAATTATCAGCCATTTAGCAACTTGGATTCCATTTTAAACAGTGAATATGTTTTGTATGGCATTCTGTATAACATTTTAGTGAAGGGTAATACATAATGGGTTTGCATAAAAGACATGTTCTTAAAATTGGGAGCAGTGCATTTGTTATGCTAACGTGTTATTTGTACGAATAAACATATTATTGCACAGCATGTATTAAAATTGTCTGGTTAAGAACATGTTAAAGGTTCAGTTTTGTAAAAGGACTTGTGATATGGAAGATCTCTTGGCATCATCAGATCTTCATGTGGGTTACCTGAGTTCAGATAATTCTCAACATCAGCATTCATAATGAGAGTTATTGAAAGCAAGTAATTACACACAGAACATATACTGACCTATATCAAAAGATACACATTTTTTTCTCTCCCTCTGTCTATTTCTTGTCATAGAAGTCTCGTCTCAATATAATTTATCCATTCAAAATCTGCAGTACAATTTCCTATTTTTTGTCTTGCCATTTCAAGCAATTTGTACTCCTGTTGTGTATAATCTTGTTGATAATATATAATTCTTCAAATATTTACTGGTTCATACAATACTGTATAGTTTTTTTCTGATGGATGCTGTTTCCTGTAAAGGCTGTTGTTTCTCTTGATGGATGATGTTTCATTTAAGGGCTGTTGTTTCCTCGGAAAGCTGTTGTTTATTCTGATGTCTGTTTTATTGTGATGTCTGTTTTCTCTAATAACTTTTTCTTCTTCTGATGGCTTTTGTGTCCTCTAAAGGCTGTTGTTTATTCTGATGTCAGTTTTATTGTGATGTCTGTTTTCTCTAATAACTTTTTCTTCTTCTGATGGCTTTTGTGCCCTCTTAAGGCTGTTGTTTATTCTGATGGCTGTTTTATTGTGATGTCTGTTTCCTTGAATAACTTTTTCTTCTTCTGATGGCTTTTTGTTGTTTATTGTAATGTCTGTTTCTGTATGGAAGTGCCAAAACAATATTGCTAGAAGCTGCTTTAACAGATGTGGCTTGAAAAAAGTATTAACATGACACTTAACTAAGAATGCTTAATAAAAGAGTACTGGTAGTACATTTATGGATCATTTAAGTTGAAATTATGATATTTAAAGCCTACTAAAACACAAGATAACATTATTTGTGTTTAGTTTCATATAATTTTTATTCTTATTAACATTAGGACCATGCTAATGCTTTCTCTTAATACCTGAAAGCATGGTTAATACAAATGGAATACCTCACAATGCACCAACAGGTTTTACACGTCTCCACGGCAATTTAAGTGATATGACAACAGTATGTACTGTAGAGTGAAAGGATAATGTCTGTTACCATTCTTATCAAGCACGCCTGTTACAAATGTTATGAATTAATAAAATCGATTAATTTGAGAGTGACTAATCACAGAGGTTATCATTTATGAAAGCAACATTTTCATCTCTTAATTTGGCAAGTATAAGAATGTTGATGGCAATATTACTTATGTACATAGAAATATCAGACATTTGGAACAATTATTTCTTGATAAGGCCTCTCATAAGAAAACTTATTATTTATAGCCAGTACAGCTTAAACATGTTTCATGGTTAACCAATCACACGACTTGGGTTGGATCCTTTGCATTGTGAAAAGCCCATGCTTCCATAGTGTTTTCCAACAGTGGACTAGCCAAAGTATTGCCTGAACTGCCATAAACCTGCCTCCCTCCCTCCCTCCTTCACTCACTCAGGTACTATATGTCCTTTTCCATTTGTTTGATCCCTGGCTTTGTCATACCAAAAGACGTTAAAAGATGGTACTTTTTATTACCCTGCCTGGCACTTGGCATTAAGGGGCTAAAACAAGGACTGGTCAGCTCGGAGTCAGTATACTGTGTCTGAATGGGGTTTTCATGTTAAACTGTGACATGGTATCGCAGACAGATACACAGACAGACAGACCTCACCTCTTTTCCATTTTATAAATTGCATTCTGTTTTTCTTGGTTTGTGTTTATAAAGCAATTCTTCCATGCTCCTTGGTGTCCTCTATATTCCCAAAGTCATTATATACTCATGTTTAATCCACATTTTATCACATTCCTTCATTTCCATTCATAGTTTTTTTCATTTCTCCTCTAACCTTGATTCTGTCTCCCCTGACATCCATTTTGGATACAGAAATGCCAAATATTAATTAACAAGTATTCATTCCATATCTTAGAGTTACAATAAGAATTTTAGTTGGAAAAAACAAAAATCAATTTGTATTTTTTCGTTTGCTTCAAAATAATGAATCCCTATTCCTCTCTATCTGTCACTCAATGTCCGTGTCGTATTCTACAATTTCAGATTTAATGTTCAACTGCCGGAAACATGTCCATTTCTTGCTTGGTTCTGTATCTCTCATCTGAAGCCCCCCACCCCCTCCTCTATATGCCAGTCCTTCGGCTGTCCATCTCTCCTCTTTAAAACATCTCTCCTCCCAAAAAAGAATTGACTCATTTCGCATCCTCCTTATGCATATAATCCTTGTGGAGAAGTGTGAGGATGGGCATTACCTGTGCTTCTGTGCATGTTCCTCACAGTGTTTGTTTTGGGAATGCTATATTTCTCTAAAGATGTAGTCACCCATCATATGACATCCCTTCCCCCCCTTCCCCCTCCCTCGTCCGATCCTCTCCACCAAATGTCCACACTATCTGAAATATACCCACCCACACAATATACAACCTTTCAATTTCGACAGCATTTCCTTGTCAGCAGACACCCATATCCATTTGCATTGTCCCCCACCTTCTTTAATGCCACGCCCAGCTTCCCCTCCACTGCCAGTGGGTTCCCTCCCACAGGGACATTCAAGACCTACATACTCTGGTGTAAAACCACTCCCCTTCCCCCGGGGCCTTCCTCTCCCCATGCAACATTCCTCTTCCTATATCCACAACTAAACAAGTT